CTGCTGCTCAACCCAAAGTGACTTATAAATTCTATTACAAGCTTATGATTTATAATGATATTTAGAATGGGTTACAATATATGATTCATAATTCTCTGATAAACCCATGATAGCTAAAATTAATCCACTGTTTTAGATAATCCACCAGCAATAAGGAATTTCAGACTTCTCTTCAGGGAGGTATAGACCTGAACTGATACATGCAACAGTGTATGAAGTCCCATGACAGCTGTCTCATGAGGCACATACAAAAGGGGCCCCTTTCTACATAAGGGGAAAAAAAAGGATGTTTCCTGTAATTGAACTTTAAGGGTTAATTGACTAATACATTTCACATTAACACCAAAAATCACCAAAGAAGACTGACAGACAAATGAAAGATTTCAGTCAGATGTAGTGCCTGAAGCAAACACTGAACTTTCTGCTACAGATAACCCTAGCATCTGTGTATCTACCACTGAGAAAATGAGTATGTCAGTCTTGGGTTGCATAAAGGGAAAAAATATCTGAGAAATTCTCATGTCACCACTCTGTAATGCTTGAGCTTAATATTTTTCTCAACCAAAGAAACAGATTCTAGATCTTAGAAGTGACAGAGAACACCACATTTCATTAGGTTTTCTCTGATGAAGAAAAAAACCCAAATCAAAGGCAAATAAAGAAGGAATGGTTTGTGTGGTTAAATGGGTTTCTTTGAGCGCACAGCATGAACAAACTTGGAAATACTTGAAATTGTTTAAATTTCAACATCTTGTCTACAAAAGAAAGGAAAAAATATTTCAGAAAAAGGAAATGTGTCATGGCTTTGTGGCTCCTTCTGTTCTCAAAAATCCAAGGTAAACCTTTTGACTCCAACTCTACCCAACTGGAAACTTATGGTATTTGACAAAGTTTGGCTGGAGCTTCCACAGCCCACCCCTCATTGTATTTTCTCACCATGTTTGCCTTGAATTCAACTGGTTTGGGTTTTTTTGATCATTCTGCCCAGCAGTTAATAGACTTATCAGACAGCTTCCATACATAGAAAATATTGCTTAATGTAAATGGCAGAATTACAGTATAGCAAATGAAAGAACATTTCAAAAGGACCAGAGAGTCCATATGTGTTTAATTTTCTTTGTGCCTCAGTTCTGAATTCTTAGGCGTCTCCTCTTACATCCCTAAAAAGGTGCCTCAGACAGCTTGTTTTCTAAAAAGGAAAGCTTGGACAACTGCCTTCTGCAGTTTCAGAGAGTGGATTTTAATAATTGCTTATGGCATTTATTATGGATTGTTTGGTTTGCATCACTAGCAAAACAAATCCTCTAACTTGGGAAGGAGACTGAAAAAGATGTCTTCACACCTGATATGTATGATCAGATAATTCAGCTGCACCTACTCTACTACTTTTCTGGTATTTTTCTTGTATTGCATGCAATTAATGCAATCCAGTGCAAATCAACAGCACATTCGTCTGGACAGTTAGGTGTGCGGTTCCATAAGGAGCACAATTCCCATTTCAGAGGCTTAAAATCAGAGACAGTCAAGGACTAATGCCTATGTACATGGAGCAGCATTTCGAAAAGCTTGAAGAGAAGTAAGTGCACCCATGCAGCTCAACTGCACAGTGTCTCCAATACCCAAAATAATGAGAATGAGGTGTCTGAACACATTATACATATCCATAAATTAAAGAAACACTGTGACTCATTGATGGTTAAACATTAATACTCCTGTCATGGTTTAATCCCAGCTGGCATCTAGGCATCACACAACCACTCAGTCACTATCCTGATGGGATGGAGAAGAGAATTGGAAGGGTAAAAGTGAGAAAAGACAGTGTAATAGGTAAAGCAAAAGCTGCATTCAGAAGGAAAACATCACAAGGAACTCATTCACCACTTCCCACGAGCAGGCAGATGTTCAGCCATCCCCAGGAAAGTCAGCCTCCTTCACACATAACAGTGACTTGGGAAGACAAATGCCATCACTCTAAATGTCCCCACCATTCCTTCTTCTTCACCCTGCTTTATCTGTCCAGCATGACACCATGTGGTGTGGAATGTCCCTTTGGGCAGTTGGGGGTCAGCCATCCTGACTGTGTCCCCTCCCAGCTCCTTGTGCACGCCCAGCCTGTGTGCTGGTGGGGTGGGGTGAGAAAAAAAGACCTTAACTCTGTGCAAGTGCTGCTCAGCAACAACTAAAACATCACTGTGCTATCAATACTGTTTTCAGCACAAATCCAACCCACATCCCCATACTCTGCCCCATATCCCATGTCTACCATGAAGAAAATTAACTCTACCCCAGCCAAAACCAGCAGAACTCCCCAACTCAATCCAAGACTGGTAAGGTGGAAGGCCTAGCTCTTAAAACAGTAAATGCTAGATTTCTACCTCAGGTGCTCTGAATTATCATGGGATCCATTCACTGTGTTAGATGCACAGTATTAATCTGTGAAAAGCTATTGTAGTGCCTAATGGAGTTGTGAATGACTATTTTCTTATCGATGGACAGATTGCATCGGATTAGCCCTAATCAGTACTTCAAATAATAAGAATCTCTCCATCTAACATCAAACAAAGCCACACAAATCTGTGCTTCATCCAAATCTCAGCAGTTTGGATAGAGAAAAACACAAATTAAGGAAATTACTGACAAGAAATATTTCATTGGTTCATTAAATAATTAAAATAAGGATGTGTCGAACTTCATAGATAGTACAAAGATAATCTTTACAAAGTCCAACACAGTATAAAACTAAACAGAAAAATCTGATAGGTTAAAAGAATCTGAGTTCATTCTTCCTATATTTTAGACATTCTTCAAACTGTGTAACCAATACATTTCATTAGACAAGTGAATAGTTCAGTTTTATACATCTGAGTCCATACTCCTTTCAATGAAAAGAAATATATTTATTAAACAATAAATTTGTCAAAAAAGATTAATTTTGATGAATTTATTTAACACAGTATCTCTGTGAATACGTCAATTTATTTTCTCAAACAAAATAATACCAAAACTCAGCATGTATAATAAAAATATAAAAGTGAGCTCTTAATATTCATGCAAACCTCATGCACATATACTGGATAGCTGCTAAAACTCAGTAAAACGTAAGAACCTATTTAAAAATATTTCTTTTAAAGCAATTGTGTCCATTTAATATTTAAGCCTTAGGGAAAAATTAAAGCAACAACACTTTTCCTGCATAACATTCTCATAAAACATGGATGAGCGCTCCACTTCTGTTAAAACAACATGCATGAGGAATTCATTGCATTAAGGTACTAGCAGATCAGGGGACAAAGAAAATCATGTTCAGAAAGATCAGAAAGATGATTTGTTGATTAAAAAATGATTAAAAAAAACCCCAAGCAAATCAACAACAGATTTTAAAATGAGTATTAGTATTGCCCTATATAGCCTTTGAATGTTATTGAAGCTACTGACTTGTCTCTAGCCCTATTTTTTACCTCTATGTATTTCTGTCTGTCTAAATATAGTCTTTATGCATTTCCAAATCAGATGGATAAAATACTCCCAAGCAAGAAAAAAGGGAGGAATCAGATCAAAGACAATAAAGCATGACAGACAAAAGTAGAGCTAATTCATAATAATAAAACACAGGAAAACAATCCACTTTTCATCAGGTCACACGGTCCATGGACTGTAGGGGCAGATGATATTCAGATACTAGCATGGAATTAAAATACTGTAGGAGGCTTGAAATGGAATTAAAACACTGTGGGAGGCTTGAAATGCTAATTCTTGCTAAAATTATATATTTGAATAAACCCCTCAGCTTAATCATTGAAATTAAGTTGAAACATAGGTCAGCTTTGCTAATTTCTATGAAATTAAATATCAACTAAAAAAAAGTAACTATGTCTCCATGGTTTTTAATTGTGAAGTTATCACAGAAAAGTAACAGAGCACCAAAATGCCTGAGTGACATCGGACTGGATATTCAAACAACAAGTAAAGTGGTGACTTCCACCTATAAAAAGCTGCAGAGTAATTTTGGCCATTACCTCCTTTGACAGTAGGGTCCATTTGATCCATGCTTTTCTTGCTGATCACAAACTCTACTTTTGTGAACATTTGTTAATGGTATTGAAAGTATATATCAAAATGCATATAAAGATTTTTAAGCAGACAAGTATATATCAAAATGCATATAAAGATGCATTTAGTGAGGCTAACCCAAGACTGTAGAGACACCTGTAATTTCACAGATTGCTTCAGAAAATTCAGGCTTCCTATAAAGGAGTATGACAAACCATAAAAAACCCAAACCAAACCATAAAAAACAATAGTCTAGAACCATAAAATACAAGATGAAACACTATCAAAGGGAGAGTTAAATGCAGGATTATTTTTGTGCAGAAAGGAAGAAAAGGCAGTGAACCTAATGGCAAGATATGAAATGCATTAAAAAATATGAAAGAGAAGCAAAACAGAGCTCCATGGACATTTAAAGCTGATCTAAGGATGGAAATGGCAATGAGGATTAAAACTGCAGGCAGAAAAAAGAGCTAGCCTTTTTACGGGTTCACAATGTTCTCTCTGCTCCTGCTTGCAATTATACTCTAGGGTGGCAATCAGTCATCAGGAACATCCAAAAAGAGTAATATCCACTGTAATGGAAGTTATTTCATTCATACTGTGTGACGAGCCTTTTTCATGATCCAGAATTAATTTCTTCTACATCAAAAGTAGTCAAATTATACCACACTAGTGTTTAAGCACAGTGAGCCTTATAAACCTTAAGAATGACATTTCAATCACAGTTAAATAAAAGTCAGAGGAAGCTTAAGCTCAATTTAAATATAAGACATATTAACATTTATTTCGATCACTGGGCTGAATATATTGAAAAGTAATATTCAGCAAATAGGAGTCTATGGAGAGGCCATGTGTTCTGTCTTGCTTTATAATGAGGCTAATCACACTTATCAGACTGCTTTTCAAAAATCACTGCTTATTTATTCTTTTTGCATCTCCTCAGCTCTTACCTTCCAGATTCAAATGTAAACCACGTTGAGTCACGTCCATATCTCCTCAAAGAGCTCAGAGGCCACATGACCAGCTTGACCTTGGCATTGTGGATGTCCCAGAGATAGATGTTTTCATGTGTGATCTGCATTGTACATTCCCCATAGATATCTAAATTTGGTGTAGGCATAAGATAAACATTGAATCGTTCTGGAAAAAAACACAAAGTAAGACACTACAAGTTAAAACAAGATTTTATACCGGGGGAAAAATGAAATAAAGTGTTTAGTTCTGATGGTTCAGAAGGCAAGGCCTTCTGAACTTTCTAGCCTTTAACAGAGGTGAGGATCCATAGAGGTCAAAAAAGCCTTGCTAGTGTAGATGAGAAGAATAAAAGGAGAATAATCTTAATTTCATTTTCATTATCAATGATGCAGTAGACTGAAACACTGTTCACAGACGATCTGCATAGTCCTCTTGGACTTATGTTCCCAGCAACTTATCTGAACTTAAATTTTTATCCTCACATTAAGGTCTATGACTCTTTACAAATCAAAATTTGCAATAACATGAACTCTGACAGAGACTCTTCTCTCAAAGAACAGAACTACAGGTACCTTGGCAAAATATGTATGTGCAAACATCGCCGCTTAGAAAAACTGTCCTTGAAACTGCAAACCCATGTTTACTTGTTGAAGCTTATTAATAATTACATTCCTTGCATTCAGTTTCTCTTTATTTGCCAAAGTCATAATTATTTGTCAAATTAATAACAATTTTAATCATCTGTTGCTTTCTTGAAAAATCAGATTCAACATGATATATTATTATGGTCATGACATTAATTGCTCTCAGCTGCAATTCCCCTGCAAAATGCATTCATTGCAGTAAGAGGTCAAGGGCATTAATAATTTTCTGAAGTGCCTGAATTGCAAGTGATTTAATAAGCAACACAAAACAAAAAAAATCCTTAAAAAAGGAAAAATGGAGAAATCCATGATGATATAAAACACCATTAACTCATATGGAAGGAATATTAATAGCAAGAGAAATTTAAATAAAAATGCAATTTTCTGTGAAAAATAACTAATGTTTGTATGAGTTGCTACTACAAAGAATGAAAAACTCAGTTAAATTTCCAGTTGTACAATTGGAAGTGCTAGTCTGTATTTTCATTCTAAAGGCACTGAAATGTTAGGGCTTAATAGAATAATATGGGAGAGGGCAGACGATTCACAACTTTTCTCTCACAGTTTTCTTTCATCTTTGAAATAGGACAGAAACACAAAATGTCAGTGCTACTGCCTGAAGGGTGTTGACAAAGAAGGTAAGAATGATTTAATGTATGAACAATGCTCATTCAATGAACAATGCTGGGAAAATGTTCTTTAAAGGGACAACTGTTAGGAAAATTGTCTCCAATTACTTGATAAAGAAATTAGAGTTTGGTGTGGAACATTTTAAATCTACCGTTTGAACTGAATTTTCTCATGGTATCTGCGTAAAATTAGGAAATAATTAAAATTAATCACTAGAGGAATAAAGTGAGAGAAATTTCTTTGCAGCAGTCAAAATTAGATGCACCTTCCTGTTGTGTTGACATTCAGTATTACAGATATTATGTCTCCATTTTTTAAACATTTGATATGTATATATACTTTTCTGACAACACAATTAAAATATTGCAAATAAGTGAGTTAATATAAATACGCTAGAATTGTGTGTGTAAATAGCAAAAATTCAGCTGAGGAAAGAACGCAGGCAGGGAATTGCTGAGTAGCAGTAAAAATTCCTGCCCCGTATAGCTATAAGCAAACTTGTCATCCCCAATGTTGTACTGTTTCAGTCAATTTAATTTTGTCCTATTAATGACTCCCCAATTGATTCACTCAGTCACAACCTCTTCTCTGAGGGCCTAGTTCTCATTAGTCACACTAATGGGTGTTAGCCCTAAAAGTTTCATTTTATGACTAAGGTCCCAAGTGGGAGACTCCCATCATTTTGTAACAGCCTTCTGACACACAGCACAAATAGAGTAGCAGGGGCTGCTGAGACCACTGAAAAGAATTACCCCTAACCCTCAGAGGAGTGCATGGGGCAGAGGTCTAATGTAATGACTACTAAAGTAAATGGAAGGACTTGCACATGGGAATACGGGTCAATGACTGTATGGGGAAAGGAATGGTAGAGAGCAAGATAATTTAAACTTTGCACTGGAATTTTATTTATACATATATGGCTTTTCAGTATCCATATGTCATTGTGATTGTCATGCAAAAATTCCTAGCTATGCAGGTGTGATGTCATCTGTTATCATATATTAGACTACAGTTTTAGATTGTCATGCTGTTACTTATTGCTACTTCCCTCCTCTATTTGAAAGAAAGATGCAGGTGACCAACATGCCAGTCACTTCTCTCTTACATTACATGAAATAACACAATGTATCTATGGGGGAATGGGGCTACTGTCTGAGAATGAAAATCTTTCCCTTTCCCTGTATTCACTGACAGAATACCTCAGATACCAGAGAAAATGAAAAGGTACAATTATTTTCTGAAGTAAATATTAAACTGTAGCGTTGAGGGCACAGAATTTTTCAACTTGATTTCGATGTTACCAGGATACTCATGAAATGCTCAACTTCTCTGAAGTGTTTGAGGACATTATTACGTGAAGGGTATTCAGGACATATGGTATCCTCAAACTGTCAGGAGACATTTGCTGACTGTGCATGGGAGGTCAGTGTCTAAGGTGAGATGTCATGGATTAAAGGAAGTATGTCTGATTAAAGTGAACATCAGCTCCAGGGCAAAATGTAGCACCCTTGGAACTTAATCAAACTGGCAAGAAAACTAGTGTACAAACATATGTGCTGGAGAAGACTGAGGATTTTTGCTTTTGGAACAAAAACCATACTTTTGAGTAGTGGGCAATTGTGGACACAGAAAGGTGTAGGTACTATTAAATGATTTTATTAATTAACATGCAGGGTCAAATTTTTCCATTTCAGAAAATATTTGAACAAGGATCTAGGCAATCACAACAGAATCATTCGATTTTTAGAGGCACGTTTTGCCCTTAAACTTATCCAGACAAGAACAAACATTCACAGGCTAGATTTGGGAATCCCAGATGAATTCTGACACCAGATCTTTTTGAATGACATTGAATAGGTTATTTAACCTCTCTGTGGTTCAGACACCTTTTGCATAAGAGTAGGATGAGATAATAACAGTTCATTGGGTAGTAAGAGTAAGTAAATAGAAGTTAATGAGGGACTGAGAAAGTAGGGAGATGGAAGAAACCAAACAAGTAAATGCTGTCTTGCTGGACAAGGTAAGACTAAGACTGAGCAGGTGTAATTCTTCAGCATCCCTATCCTCCTTCCTCTAAAATTGGTGAGAGTGAAGTTCAGGGAGTGGGGGAGCCAGGATGGGAAAAAATGCTGATGTATTTCTACACTTATTATTCCACTCAATGTAACTGCACTTTCCCATCTTCTTGAATAAGCAGAGCAATGCTTCACTATACAGTTTGCGCATGTAAAGGTGTTTAGCAGTTTGGATTTGGTAAGAACATGACAATTAATAACATTTGCCAGGGTATAGGAGCATAAGAGTCTTTATTATAATGAGCATATTGACTGAGATGGAGAATTGGCAGCAACTCTGAAATGCTCTCAGCCTTTTAGCTCAAAGTCCAGCTGTACTGGGGAAGCAAAACAACTGAAGCCCAGTGATCCTGGTTCTGCTATTTTATCACTGGATTCCTTTTCCTAAATCATCCCAGTTGGAAAACCGACCAGATGACATTGCAATATTGCAATCCAGATGCTTGGTGTCATTTCAGCTTTAATGATGGGTAAAAAACTACTTATGGAAGGAGACAGGTTGGTGGGGTCTATATAAACAAAAACAGGCTTTTAAAGCAAATATTCAGTTAATATATGGAAGAAACTCCTCCACCTTTGAGACTTCTGCTGCTGACCATCTGTGGCTAATTTTCAGGAAAAAAGAGCTTTAAGTCTTGAAGGAGCAGCATTTTGTGTTCATTCACATGTCAAGTGTATTAAAATGTTTCTCTTCTGCTGTACACAGTAACAAACCAGGACTTCAGTATTACTTTTTTTCCTTTGCTGATAAATATTCTGCTTTGATTCCATTAAAAATGTACGGAAATGTTCATAAGCATCTCAATCAAAATTTAAAGGTTTCCGTAAATATATATTTTTAATTGTTTCACTGATAAGTAGTAACGTAGAGAATCTAAAGTCTCATTGTTTCACTGATAAGTAGTAACGTAGGGAATCTATAGTCTAACTGGATTAACCACTCATTAAAACTGTAAACACCTTACTTTTCAATATAAAGCTGTCTGTGTTTCATTTATTTAAAAAGCCCAACCAACAATGTATAAAAATGGGATTAAGGGTAACAGAAGATGAATAAAAAAAACATGCAAAGTGCTTTTGTATATTAAATTACAAACAGAGATTCTACAGACCCTAGAAAAAGCCCTAAAACAAGTCAGCTCCGTGAATGTAATTACAAAGTCTCTATGCTTTAGCTGTAGTTTGTAATTTCAATATGTAGCACAAAGACATAACTCATAATCCTCCTCTGAGGATTCAAGGACTTTGTTCACTATGAAAAGCTACATTTTTACTAACAGGAATTAATGAGTTTCTTGCAATTAAAATCCAAGAAGTAAGACTGCTGCTCCTGTGGAATGCTTTTAAATAAAAATGGAAAGTAAAAATTAATGTTATGAAAGAAGCAAAACCTTACAAAGGAATTAATTTTATGAGATATTAATTTAAATATTATGCAGGGAGGAAAAGCAAAAAATCAATTATCTTTTAAACTTTTCCAGACATCTAAAATCAAAACTAGCTTTATAATGCTATAAAAGGTAAGAAGTTTAAAAATCCAAAGCACCAGTAACACATAATAGAAAAGCATCATATTGATACCACAGCTATGACAGCTAACAATAAACAAGCTGTAGGAGCAAAAGATGGATTGGCTTTTCTTCAGTTTAAACATTTTCATTTTAGCATTTGACCATTTTCTGCAGGTTTTACATTAGGTTTATAAGTAAAGTTTAAGAGAATATGATTTAGCACAGGAATACACCTATTTTAGTGCTATTATTTAGTATTCAAAATAAATAGTAACAGAATCTTTACCAATAGGAAGCACCTGCTCCTAAAGAATGAATTTATCAATAGTCTACACATAATGCTCTTTCAAGCAATATTACCTTGAATATTCTGGTTTCTTTTTTACAGTAAATATTATCTGTCATTGTATACGGTCAGTTATGATGACTTATTTCAAATTGATTCTCTTTATAAACAGTGAAAATAGTGACACATCGGAAACAGGGAGCATGGACAAATTCTAGATATGCTAACACGTGGGAAGATAAAGGTCTTAAAAAACCTCACATTTGTTTAGTTGTTTTATTTTAGGGTGTATTGCAAATGCTTCCAAATGCATTGAGATGGAAAGGAAGTTTCCAAATCTTGCAAATGAAGTCAGCACTCTACCTTCAAAATTCCTTTGCCTAGGAGCAGATTGAGAAATCTAAGGATTATACGTGTGGAAGCATCACAGGAGATTACTTAGAAGACATGTCAACAGTTTTATCAGATCCAACTGAGTCCAGACTTTCTTTCCTGAAGTTATAAATATGTCTTATCATTGCCTATATAGCTTCACTGCCATTATACTAAATTAATTATCTGAACAGGAGCACGATATGAGGACTTCACTGCTTTTGCTTTCATAATGTATTTTGATTATTTAGTAAATAATCTAAATGGACATTCATAAATACTAAAAGACTGTGCTTGATGTGAAAAGAAATTTAAACAGAAACAGTGTTGCTGCTATAGGACTGAGGGATTACTAAGATTTGCAGGAGAGAGAAGGTAAAATGGTTGGAGAGCAGCAGAAGCTTCATTTCACATCTCACTTTTATTGGAATCTGTGTATCATTGCAAACTAACCAGCCATTAGATATGAGCCTTAAATTGAAAAGAAAAACAACTAAGGGTCATTTTCTGCAGCAGAGTTTACACAGTAAGACCCATGGTAATACTTCTTGAAAGTAATAAAAGAGATGAAATCCAGTGAGAAGCCTTCTGTTACTGATGGGCTTTGCACAAGAATTGCTTAGATGTGTTCTCTATCCTTTCTACAAGACACAGTAGCTAAAGCTGTCTGCTCTAAGCAGTGTAGCTCTACAGTTTGCCTCTTTTTGCTGTCACCACTGCAGAATTGCTTGGTGCTGCAGGGTCAAGCAACAGTGCAACTACAATAAAACAGATCTCACTAGCACTTACTGAACAACTCAGGACTATAAAAGAATGACTCTTTCAGATCACTGCACTAGCTTAAATTCTTATCCTCATGTGACAGAACTGCCTTGTGAATGTATGGCCTTTTAGCCATGACATTTGCACACCAAACAGCAGCTTTGTCAGCCTTTGGCACAAACTGTTTTGCAAACCATATTGTTGCATTCCTGTCAGAGAATCAGGTGTCTTCCCTTCTGAAACCTAAAGCTCATCTCAGAAGAACCACAAGAGTAAGAATGGGAGGATAAAGAGACTCAGCTGTAATAAAGAGAGATATTAGACAAATGATAGAAAAACATATTTTCCTTGACAAGTATTTTCTGAAATGTGAGTCCTTGGGTATAAAATAATATAAGTAGCATGTAGGAATTTTAATGATCCCAGGGTGCATACAACAACAGTTAATAAAATTATTTCAAATGCTGCAAACTGAGAGTAGTGTCCTCTGTGATCACATACAGGAAATAAAACACAAACCTACACAACTGAAAGTTGCTGGTTTGGGTTTTTTTTTTTTCAAGAGAGAGCCAATTTACCTGATCCATTCAGTGAATACCATTACAGCATGCAAATGTCCTTTAAGGACAAGAATGGGCAAGCAGTTGAAGAGGTGAAGAACATTGTGTATTAAAAATATTATTGCTTGGAAAGTGTAAAGCAGGTCATGAAAACACCCCACCTTATTAGGCTAGTTCTTTTGTGATCAAGAAAGTATCTTTACCAAATTTTAAACATTTCAGAAAATGTTTAGGGCAAAGAAACCATTTGAAAAAACCTCAGTGAATGAGATGCAATTAATAGTTAGTATATCTGTTCTTTTAGGATTAATGGTATTAACACCTGGCATATCACAGAGGTATCAACAGTATAGCACCATTAATCAATTGCTTTTAGCCTTTAAAAGTGTAAAAAATCATTTATGTAAAACTGAAAAAGCACTGACACTGTAATGTTTATGACAATCTGTGGTCTTGCTCAGATAGTAAGAGACATCTTTTGTTTAATGACCTGAAAGAAACCCCTTGTCTGGTTCAGGCAACAGAACTTGCATGAAACTAGATGCTGAGTCTTTGAGATTCTATTACAGGTTTTAGAAACCGTATTCTCACATCTCTGTTTCAAGTAAACATTAATAAACTGACTAACTCAAGAGAAATTCTATGAAGTTGACATATTTGCAATATATTTTGAAATAATGACATTCAAATGACACTGGTATTATACCAGTGTACAGTTTTAGTTAGCACAAACAAATAAAATGATCCAGAGAGTGACACAGCTGCCATTTTCACAATGAGCAAGATTTTAGACAGTTCTCATGAATTTCCAACTGGAAAATTAACTTTGACCTTTCAGTTTCAGGTCAACGGAGGCTCAGTAGACATTTAAAAGGCTTTTAGATATCTTTTGAACTACAGTTTTCGACAGCATGTGTGTAAGAGCTACAACATGGGGAAAACATGAAAGAAAATAAACTAAAAATCTGAATTTTTTTACCAGAGTTCACCAAATGGTTCCACCCTCCAACTAGTCACCTTTTCAATAACACTGTCATGTGGAGAATGACACTATCGGGTTTGCAGAATAAGGTAACTAATATAAACTGAAGTCATGGTTCCACTCAACCAATTTTACTGAAGGAATGTGCCACAGAAATTTGAGTGCAACTGCAGGTTCTTACAGCACAGAAAAAAGAACAAAATGCCAGATTTCATACCAATAGTAAGAATCTCTGTGCTTTTCCCCTCCTTCCAAGTTGATTAAAAGACCCCCAAAACAGAATTTGCTTTGCTTCTGAACAAGACAACTTGAATTTCAAACATGCTTATTAAAATGCAAAGTTGTGTATCAAGAGGATGAGGGAAGCATGTGGATAGGTATCAGAATTACTTGTCTGAGATACTGTAACTAATGATTTAGCAGAGCATGCTTGTCAAATATTGGATTATATGTATTCAGTCACTTGGTTTAAAAGAATACAGCTAATGATACCCTCCATGCATTATTATTCATGTGATTTGTACAACAAATACATGCTTTGCCTCTTTGTTTCCTTTCATTTACTTACTTAGAACAATAAAGATGCTAATTATGTTCATATATGCCGGTTGGTAGCACTGCAATTAATTTCTAAGCTAAGCAATTGAATCAAGACTAGTTCACACAACAGACCTAATCTATGTCACCTGGAGGTCACATGTGTGCAATTGGATCTCTTTCAAGAACATGAGAAAATGCAGTATTTGCCATCTATGTCCTATACTGCTGGACAGTACATGAATTCACTGCAGAAAGAGCTTGAGGAATTTCAAGCTATTTTTCTGCTCATATCACAGGCTTTCAACCAGATTTATTTCCTTTCACATTTGTCAAGGAGCTCCACCTGCTCACACATCTCTTCAACAGCATGCATATGAGCTTTATACCTATAGCCTATGAACATATACCAGATGGGATGCTTTGAGTGGTGCCTGATCATTATCACTTTCCTACAACATTAGTTGCTTTCCCTTTGTTGAGTAGTTTGAGACTACAAATTGGATCCTGTGTCTCATAGCAGGCAAACAACATTACAAACATTTGAACTTCTTTTAAATCACATTTCAACGTGTCTGTTTTTTGAACAAAATTCCTTTAAGATTTCTGTATATTTTATGCTATTTGCAATTAGGTTCAGAGATGTCTGGACTCCCGTACGAAATTAATACAATATAATCAATATAGTGCTATTTATTCTGTAATTTAATTATGTAATTTTGTTCATAATGATGGTTGGCTTGATATTTTATGACCACTGAGGCAGTGTGTGTTATTACTTTGTTGAAAGCTATTGGATCTTATAAAAGCATCAAGACAGTAATAACCATTGAGAGCTGTAATTTAGGGAGGAATAAATGAGCACATTTTGTGTTGCCCTCATGTTCATTAATAGGAATTAAATGACAGGATAATCACAGATTTTCTTTTGTTATTGCATATTCCATCCACTAGCATTCTTCCTGTGCATGCATCTAATCTAAAGTTCTGCTCCAAATAGCCTTTAGATGAAGACTTACAACTCAGGTTTAGTGCAGACTAGTATCTGTCATTGCCCTTTTCACCCGTATTTGACAACATTGAGATGATCTTGACTTCAATATTCAAGACAGGTATGAGTTTAAAGCAAATATGTGTTTTGCAGTCCAAATTGGTGTTGATGTGTCCATCACTCTCTTTAAAAGGCTGCAGAACAACAGCTGCTGTTTTATTCCTCTGCACCAAGGTCATGATTTCCAGAACCAGAAGGGTCATGGTCACCATTTCCCATGACAGGAAAATATGAACACAATGAAGACATAAAGTCACTCTACATGTGCTATTTGGCATGGAATTAAATCAACTTTATTTGTAGGAAAAGCTAGGATTAAGCTTCAAAACCACATTCAAATGTTTATTTAATAATGATGTGCTTCTAGATAATAGCAGAAGTCCTCACAATGACAAACACAAGCAAAGATGACACGGGACATCACCTAAGAACTGATTTAGAAGAAAATACAGAGTTACTTACCATTTTGTTCCCTCTGGACTCCAGCAGCAAGCAAATCTGGTTCCCCAAGACTTATATCATTGAGCCTGGCTCCTAGACACTCCATGCAAAGATGTTTGCACCATTCCTCTGCCTCTAGTTCTGGGAAAACAGAAAAAGAAGTTGTTCATGTTAACATTTTACCCCAAAAAAAAGTATGGAGTTAACTCAATACCTTCTTACTGGCCAGCTTTATGACAACATGCTTCTGTTGAAACAAGTTATTAGCATGAATTCTTTTCAATTCGTTTCTTTGCCTTGAATGCTGAACTTTGAAAAAGAACACTGTTAGGACTGCATCTTCCATTCTTCATATTTGAGGACAGGAGGTGGAGCAAACAAAGAGGAGGAATAAAGAATTTTCAAGGCAGCATATTTCTAGTAAGCCTTCCTGAGAGAAAAAATGCAACTTAGAGAAACTTTAGATATAATAGCTTAAATATTCTTTACTGTTTTTTAGGTGAGTCTGAACTATTTAAGCACTTTCTGTTTCTAAAGGTGCTAGAGTGTTTTTCTAAGAGCAAAGGAAAAACAGCAATAAAATGATCTTCAAATGTAAAACTTCCTTCTCTGCTGTAGTGAACAGCTATGCCTGCCAAGTTAGTCTGAATAATTAATTTTTTTGGTTCTGTTCACCTTTTTTTTAGTCTCAGAGCAATTTGGGCATTAGTTAAAATATTTATATGAAAATTCAAAATCTCCTAGTCCTTTCTGAGTCCTCCATTGCACCCCATTGATGTACATCTGAGAGTTCCCTATCTGCCATTCCCCAAGGCATAACTGCCCCACACACCACAACAGCCCCCTTCCTTCACCTCCAGCCTCATCCTATCCACTTCCCAAACTTAACATCATGAAATCTCTGGCATTGGTCAAGCAACCAAGATCTCAAGTTGGTGTTAACACAGTGTTAAAGCACAACTAAGAAAAATCATGCAACTACCCTGTTTTTTATTACAGGATAGTCTTCACCTAAGGGAAACTCTCTGGAGAGCAGCCTTGGCACAGGGCACACACTGAGCATCCATGGTCACAGTCAATCTATATCTGATCATCTTTAGGAGTGGGTGACTTCAGTAACTGGGAAATGTCTGTATTAAACTGCCAGTCTTTTCACTCCTACTTCTGGGGACATCTGGAAAATACTTTTGTGACAACCTCTCCAATGTAGTGCTGAAACTTGGAGAGAGAAAAATACTGCAAGCAAGCCCCAAAGCATTTAGCGATGATGACTCATTGTAATTAGTGAAAATTTATACCCAAGAAAAACTGTTCTGTGCCTAATTGGTACAGTCCTTAAATTCTTGCCTGGTTAGGCATAGATCTCATGTGACAGAAACATTTGCTGGACAAGAAAGGGAGACAGGCACGCAATTCCAGGTGTCCGAGAACCTTTTGATACTCTCCTTTGTTCAGGGTCCTGAATAATCCAGGAACAGATTGTTCCTGAGTTATTCTGGCTATCAGCTGACTGAGTTCTCAGACAGACAGCTCAAATAATAGAGCCTATTTTGGGATTTTTGAGAGCCAAATGTGGCTGTCATCACAAGAATATGGGAGCCTTTTTCAGAGTGCTGTGAGGAAAGGGGTTTCCCTTAACCCTTCCTGCTTTTTGCAGTCTTTGTCTCAGGACACAGATTCCCAAAGTTGGTCTTCTCATAACATTCTCAGCTTCTGGTAAGAGAGTTCTGTCAGTAACATCCAGATGACATTTAACTTTCTATATAAGAAGAAAATACTGATGTAACAGCATACTGTTTTTTCAAGACTTCCATAGATATAGCCTCCTTGATGGAAGTAAGGAGAAAACAGGTGTATCTCTGGACAACAACAAAAATTTACAGCTTTTAAAATGAGCAAGATCAACTTGGTTAAAAGCCTACTTCCAAAATTATTTAGTTCATGCATGAAGAATTTTTCCTGTTTACTCTTCTTCTCCTTCAGCCTTTGACATTTCCTTCGATATTCATGAGGTCTGTTGAACCAAAGCCATTGCTTTATAAACCACATCTTCCTATGGAGACGTTTTCACGCAAGGGAGATGATAGAAGTGGACCCCAAGACATGCTGCCCTATTCTGGCAGCACATGGAGAGGGGGGCAGTGCACCAGCACACAGGTAAGTCAAGCTTCTTCTGGGAGAGTTTCCACTGAGTTGCCCAACATCTGCTTCCAAGTACAGATAAACACTGGGCAATCAGTGCAGAAAGGTGGTAGCACAAAGGTGACAGTGCAAATCTAGGCAAGTACTGCCATGTTTCCTTGCCTTCCCTTCTTTTTTTTGTCTAAACTGTATCACAGAACATTATATATATGCTGACAGAATGCATAGCTTTGTATAAAGCCTGCAGTTTTTCCTGGAGCTTGCTCAGGATATAACATACTATGCATTTTACAAAATCTGCATTTTATTACTTTTTTTGATTGTGCCTGCACCCAGAAAGAATGGGCATGTACTGAAAATGTAGAATGAGATGATGGCAAACAAACACTAAACTAACCTTTCTAATATTACAAATATCTAAGGAGAAAGAGAAACTATTGGTATTTCCATAAATCCAGTTTACCATCAATATATATTCAAAAGAGGACTCTTATGTAAAAGCAACAAGTTCTATTTATACGTATTCTCACACCACATTTCCAGTAGATATTTTTAGAAACAAACAAATGCATTGTTCTAGGAAGCAGTTCCTTGTGTGTCTTTGCTTTCGTCTCCTCAATCCATTTGACTCCCTTTTTTACAGGAACATCTAGATCCTGAAAGCTTGGATCCAGAAACTGCCTTTCAGAGTGTTTGACTCTGGCAGTTTAATTTAAGCTACTGCTTCTTTGCTGCCAAAGACTGATGATTAGTCCCAGATTAAACCATTTTCCAACAGCCATACAGAAGAAACTTATCTTAGGGTGAGCATTATAAGTTCCTGGCTGTATTTTGCAAAGTGTAGGCTATAACATGCATTGTACTGCTGTATAACTCAAAATTTCTATCTTACAAAAATGATCAACTTAATGCTACAGAAAATATAGTTTCAATGCAGAACTGAAATATCTTCCCACAGAACTGTGAGGATTTGTGTCTGCTGTCAGAAGAATCAACATTATCTGCAAATGTGTCTGGAAGGTCAAGGGTATGAAGGTACTGCGCGAGTTAGTTTTGCCTAATGCATCCTGATAGCTATTGCTTAGTTGCAAGGGATTGCCTTCAACCTTTTCCTTGACAGACATGTGAAATCTTATTTAGAAGTAGGTGAATTACCTTTCAAAGACAAAGCTTTGTTCCTCCTTTCATCATGTGCATCTATAAAGCAATTCATCATTCTTTTGTAAAAAGACTATAGAATGCTTTGTGTTTCTGGATAACAAATTAAATATAATTTATGATTTTAAAAAATCATTTATCATAATTTATAGTAAATAAATTCATCCATCATGGCAGCAATCTTTAAGAATGAGAGGTACCATGTCACAAAACAGAGATATCATTCTTACTTCTTTGTTTTGATAATATACATATATTGAAACAGAAGAAATATTACAGTGGAACCAAGTCATAAAAAACTGCCAGCAAAACTGTTCTCTTTAATGCATGTAGATGAGATTTGTTGGTAGTAAATGCTGAGGTTTTAGTCATAACTGGTACTTGTCATTGAAAAATTTAGTTTCCTTTTAAGGTAGCAGAATTCCTGGTCTGAACGATAAATTGTAAAGCATGTTTTCACAGCTGTAAATAAAATAAAAATACTTGCATTTTTATCTTTACAGTTATTTGATATAAAATGCTGCTATGCAAATGTCGTGAGCTGAGATAAAATGCAGAGATGGAAGACCTTAATTAGGCACTGCTAATTGCCTAAGAAATATTTCTGGGAACATATCGGTAAACTTGTTACTCAGCTTCTTATTGACAATATTTTCCTGCAGCTGAACTGAGCTTCTAAGTAGTGCCTGAGGTTGTATGTAATTTCTGCTTCAGTTCTCAGGTGATTAAACTGGTGCTGTACCTAGCCCAACTACTGAAGCCATGTATTGCAAATAGCTGATACCACAGGATAATAAGTGGGTTTGTTGATATAACAACAATGGTGAAATAATTGGCAAATAGTGCTAGAAATAAAAATTTGTCAAAGTGAAAGTGCTCTTCTGCTACTTACAGTTTAAAACAGTTCATTACACACAACCTATTCTACAGGGAGGAGGTGGGGGCAGTGATAGAGATATACAGACACATTTCATTTTACTGTTCTAAAAGATCCTTTAGATCTCTTTCTATCTGGCCTCTAGATCCTCTAGATCTCTGAGGCTAGAGATGGGATTGTTTTCAGACTTCTAACTTAGGAAGCATTTTGTGTGTGGACTTAACCAAATACCTTCTGAATCCTGGTAACTTCATGTTCTTTCACATTTACCTCCTGTGTTCACATGGCACAATCCTACGCGAGCCTTCCATCTCCCATCACGAGTTGCCAGCATAATCAAATGCCTCCAGGCTGAGATAAAGCGGCAAAGAGCTGACCCCTCCTGCTCAGTGCAGCTTCTCTCTCCTTGAGCAATGCCATCTCTGCTGTGCAAGGCAGTGCCCTCCATTCCCAGGGATCCCTTCCATCATTATAAGCAGCAATTCATTGCATTCATAAAAGAATAGCTCTGTT